AAAAAAAAAAAAAAAAAAAAAAAAAAAAAAAAAAAGGAAAGGAAAAAAAAATAAATTCCCCCCTGCCCTCTTTTTGTTTTAATTTATTGGTTCAAACTCTGTGAGGTGTGTAAGAGTGTAAATATGTACGTGCGTCTGTATGTCTGCAACCATCCTAAGGGACTCTTGGAATAAAGATTCTGGTTGTCATTCGACCTGAATCCAACTCATCCTTTCCAAAGTTGCAGGGAAATCTTCCAGCTGCCTTTGCCCATGTGAAGCTGTTCCCAAAGGCTTGGGAAGGGGAGAGATCTCTCTTCTTCTCCTTGTGCAGCAGGGCTGGGCACAGGTGCAAGGAGGGGAAGAATGGGCAAAAAGGGCAAATTTCCAGCACTTCTGGGTGTGTGGGAGATGAGGATGCTGAGAGCAGTGGCTCAGGTGGAACGTTGGGGACAGTGCCTTTCCCCAGAGCAGTCCCAAGAACCAGAGTTGTCCTGGAATTAAATTGGACCCCACAGCCCCTCGCTGTGGGCTGAGCAAGGCCCAGGAATGTCCCTGGAAGCTCCCTGAGGGACCACGGCCACCAAAGCTCCTCTGAGTCACCGTTTGGTGGAGTCACGGCAGCCCTGGCCCCTCTGCTCTGCCCTCAGTCCCTGGCAGGGCTGGTCACTGCTCCGGCAGTGTCCCACCTCCCAGACCCTCAGCCTGGGGGATCCCTGGCTGGATCCCAGCCTGCTGCCGCAGCTTTGGGGTGGGGATGGATGGGGAGGGGGATGAGGAAGCGCGCAATGGTGAATTGGCACGGCACGGCGTGTCACGGCACGGCTGCTGGCTTGGCAGCAAGGGGAGGGCAGGGGTGGGACACGCAGGAGAAGGTGGAGTTATCCCTTTGTGCCGGGGAGCTGGTCTGACAGGAATCTCACAGGAATCGGAGCAGCAGCCCGGTGGCTCCGGTGTCCTGGTCCTGCCCAGTCCCAGCCCTGCTCCCACCCAGACCCGATGGATCCGGGGGCCGAGGGCAGGGCAGGTCCCCGGGGCATCGAGGGGCTCTGACGGGCTGATCCGGGCCCGGTGAAGATGTGCCAAGTGGGTGAGTCCGGCTCTGGGTGGCGATCGCAGCAGGAGGGCAGGGGAAACTGAGGCACGGAGGCAGGGAGAGGAGCCGAGGGGCTCGGTGGGCTCGGGGAAGGAGCTGGGCTGAGCACTGGGTGGTGATGGCTGCGTCAGGGTGGGTTCCAAGGGAGAACAGCCCCTCAGTCACTCCTCGAAGTGCCGGGTGCCAGAACCCAGCCCTGGAACTGCCACTTGGGGACAGCTGCTGTCCCAGAGCTCCCTCGTCACCCCGAGGAGCCCCAGCCCTTCCCAGCCCCACAGGGCCCCTGTCCCCATGGCCACTGCCCCAGACCTCTGCTCCAGTCCCAGGAGAGCTGGCTGGACCAGTGGTCTGCATATTTGGGCTGCCGGTGCCTTCCACATCACCTCCTGCCTCATCCCCTGCCAGCACGTCCTCTGGGGCTGTCCCCAAATGTCCCATTCCTGTGGCAGGGAGGGACAGCTCGGTGCTGGCCACCCCACACCCCCCTCTCCCCTCGTCTCAGGCCACCTCGATCCCAGCGGCCTCCGAAATGTGCTGATGAAAACGGGGCTCATCCTCCTCATCGTCGGGCACCTCAACTTCATCACCGGCGCCCTGGTCCACGGCAGCGTCCTGCGCTTCGTGGTCACCGCCCGCGATGCCACCTCCCTGCACTACGGTGTCACCAACAGCGCCTCTGTCATCGCTGCGCTGCTGGTACCGCCGGCAGCGGGGCCGGGGAGGGATGGGAGAGGGCTGCAGGCTGGGAAGGAGATGGGATGCAGGATGGAGCCTGCTGGGACTCCCCCACCCCAAACAAGCCTTTCTTGGGGAATTAAACACTCCGCGGGAGGCTGTGGGAGGTGAAGCGCTGCCCCCTGGATGAGCTTCCAGGATGAAACCAGCGGGGAAAGGAGCCCTGGGGCAGGGTGGCTCCTGCTGAGCTCCCTGTGCTGCCCCCCAGATCATCTCCTGCGGAGTCTCGGCCCTGCTGCTCTCCCGGTACCTCAGCCCTGCTGCCCTCGTAAGCACCCCCAGACCCTCCCAGTACCGGGGGGTGCAGCCCTCCCAGGGAGCCCGCACAGACCCCCCAGCCCCAATCCTGGGTCTGTCCTGGGGAGGGGACATCCCCTAAAACCCTAATCCTAACCCTAACCCTAACCCTCTCAGGGAGCCCACACAGATCCCCCAGCCCCACTCCTGGGTCTGTCCTGGGGAGGGGACATCCCCTAAAACCCTAATCCTAACCCTAACCCTAACCCTAACCCTCTCAGGGAGCCCGCACAGATCCCCCAGCCCCTCTCTTGGGTCTGTCCTGGGGAGGGGACATCCCCTAAAACCCTAATCCTAATCCTAAAACTAACCCAAACTCTAACCCAAACCCAAACCCTGATCCTAAACCCAAACCCAAACTCAAACCCTAACCCAAACATTAACCCAAACCCAAACCCTAACCCAAACCCAACCCCAAACCCAGACCCAGACCCAACCCAACCCCAACCCCAACCCCAACCCAACCCAACCCAACCCCAACCCCAAACCCAGACCCAACCCCAAACCCAACCCAAACCCAACCCCAAACCCAACCCAAACCCAACCACAACCCAACCCCAAACCCAACCCCAAACCCAACCCCAAACCCAACCCCAACCCCAGACCCAAACCCAAACCCAGACCCAACCCAACCCCAACCCCAGACCCAAACCCTGTCCCTTCCCCGTTCTCGCTCCCGCAGAAATGGGCGCTGCTGGCCCAGAGCTCCTGCAGCAGCCTGTGCTGCCTGTGCCGCCTGCTGGGGCTGCTCGTGGCCATCGGGCTCACCCTGGGCAACCAGGGCCGGGCGCTGCTGGCCCCCTGCTCCAGCACCGCCAGCGGCCTCGCCCCGGTGTCCCGCGAGTGTCCCTTCGACCCCACCCGCGTCTACGTGAGTGCCCCGCGGGCTGGGCATGGGGTGTGCTGGGAGTGCCAGGGGCTGATGCTGGGCTGTGTCCCCGAGCTCCACGCTGTCCCTCTGGGCCGGGCTGGGGGTGGGATGTGCCGGGAGTGCCGGGGGTTGATGCTGGGCTGTGTCCCGGAGCTCCATGCTCTGGGCCGGGCTGGGCGTGGGATGTGCCGGGGGTTGATGCTGGGCTGTGTCCCCGAGCTCCACGCTGTCCTCCAGGCCGGGCTGGGGGTGGGATGTGCCGGGGGCTGATGTTCCCGTTGTGCCCCAGAGCTCCACGCTGTCCCTCTGGGCCGGGCTGGGCGTGGGATGTGCCGGGAGTGCCGGGGGTTGATGTTCCCTCTGTGCCCCAGAGCTCCACGCTGTCCTCCAGGCCGGGCTGGGCGTGGGATGTGCCGGGAGTGCCGGGGGTTGATGCTGGGCTGTGTCCCGGAGCTCCATGCTCTGGGCCGGGCTGGGCGTGGGATGTGCCGGGGGTTGATGCTGGGCTGTGTCCCCGAGCTCCACGCTGTCCCTCTGGGCCGGGCTGGGCGTGGGATGTGCCGGGGGTTGATGTTCCCGCTGTGCCCCAGAGCTCCACGCTGTCCCTCTGGGCCGTCTCCCTCCTGCTGGAGGCCATGGGGATCTTCTTCAGCGTCCGCTGCCTCCTGCTCACCCTCGAGCTGCTCCGCCTCGGCCGCTGCTGCCGCGGGATGCTCCGCATGAAGGTGATGCTCTCTGGTTCCTGGGCTCAGCTCCAGCCCCTCTGCTCTGCTGCAGGGCTGGGACAGGGCAGGTCGGAGCTGGTGGATCCAAGGTTTCCACCCCTCTGCTCCCATCCTCGTCCTTCTCTCTGGCTTCCAGCTCTCTCTGCAGGAAGCCCCCGTGGAGACCCCCGAGCCCGGGCAGTGCCTGGCCTTGCTGAGACTGGACAGTGGAGAAACTGCCCGGCTCTGAGCAGGGCCTGAGGGATAAATGACCCTGTGGATGTGTCCTGGCCATTCCTGCCCCGTTCCGGCACCAGCACAGCCCCACGACAGGACTCGGCTGCATCCCAGGAGGTGTGGACACATCCCCTGGAGCACGAGCCCATCCCGTGGCCTTGGGCTGCAGCGAGGGATGAAACTGGGCTGGATCCAGAGGCTGCAGGGAGGAACCTCCCCCAGAGGCTCCGTGTCCCCTTTCCCAGCACGGACTGCACTGACACAAGCTTTATTCTGCAGGTATTCCAGCCCAGAAGCACGGCCCCCCCAGCCCCACCCCATCCCTGCCGAGGGGAAGGGGCTGATCCATCCCTGTCCATGGGGAAGGGGCTGAGGCTG